TAGACATATCGCAAGAAATCATTTAGTGTTCTTTGTCCTTGTCTGATTTGAACCCTGATCTTTAAGGTTTGCCCCCACTAGGCCATACTGCAGGTCTTGAAACTAGTTTTAATGTTGATCTTCTGGGTTTCCAAGCCATTTCAGTCTTTCCAGCTTGGGTCTATGGCAAGTAGACTTCCGTAATATGTAAACATTGCAGTTATATTTTAGTATCCAATGGACACAGACCAATCAAAACCTGAGCAGAGAAAGTAATTTATTGGATCACTAGTTCAACAATTAGGTGGCATAATGTTTTTCTACCTTAGCAGAGGAGAATGACTTTGAGGAATTATGCCTTGACTGAAGAGTTTTGTCTAGAAGTGTGTATGAGATTGATCTTTTCTATATCCTTTCAGGTTCAGCCTTAATGGTGGTCACTTGTTCATTGTACTTATCTGTGGTTGTGAATGTGCCTCTGTCATTATTAGTTCTGATTGGTTTTGTTTATCACCTGAGTTGCTGGCTAATCCATGAAACAAATTATAGTGTGACCATGAATTGCTGGACGCAAGATGTTAAAAATAGGTGGAATAGGCCGATGACTTTTGAAGCACATGTGCTTCTGAAGAATTCTAGTGTCTGTCTGTAGGCATGCAGTGAAGCTGGTTTAAATTCTGTTCATCGTCCAATATGTCACTGATTGTGTAGATATTGAAGTGATTTAAGTGAATGTACAGAAGTCGAGGATTTGTAAGGAGATAAGCCGTCATGTCTCTTGCATTATACAGCTTTCTTTTGCTTTTAGTCCTCATTTTTGGTTTGGATAATTTCCATTTCGTACTAAATATAGGTATTCTGGTTGCCTGTGGTTTCTTTTATGATTAGTTAAATCATGGAAGCTTTATGGAGCAGTTTAATACTTCTCATGTTTGTGTAATACTGCCCCGTGTATTAAGAAAATGGAAGTTACAACCACTCTATCTGTGGTCTCGAAAGAAATGTGAAGTTGTGAACCCCCTTTTTCAACTCTCATCTCAAAAATTGTGTTTAGACCTTTAAAAAGATTTGAAGTTAAAAAAGACAGTGTTATCGGCAAAGGTTGATGAGTAACTGCCCAATGGCTGTTCAATGTCATCCACAAAATGCTCCAGTGTATTATTGCTCATAGGGGTCAACTGGTTCGTATTGTTAGAGCAAGTTCTGCATTTCCATTTCGTACTAAATATAGGTATTCTGGTTGCCTGTGGTTTCTTTTATGATTTGTTAAATCATGGAAGCTTTATGGAGCAGTTTAATACTTCTCATGTTTGTGTAATACTGCCCCGTGTATTAAGAAAATGGAAGTTACAACCACTCTATCTGTGGTCTCGAAAGAAATGTGAAGTTGTGAACCCCCTTTTTCAACTCTCATCTCAAAAATTGTGTTTAGACCTTTAAAAAAATTTGAAGTTAAAAAAGACAGTGTTATCGGCAAAGGTTGATGAGTAACTGCCCAATGGCTGTTCAATGTCATCCACAAAATGCTCCAGTGTATTATTGCTCATAGGGGTCAACTGGTTCATATTGTTAGAGCAAGTTCTGCATTTTGTCATTGTCTCCTAATTCTCAGTTAAACCTTTTGCATGCAATTGCAGTACACTGACGATTTACAGTGAAAGATCGGAAGAGAAGAACTTTATGTTTCTTTGTTTCTGATGTAACATACTATAACTGATCCTAGTTAGTTACACGTAGATCGTTAATATGGGTCTATACTTCAGTGTTGCTGAACATTTGTTTGTGGCTTGTGTAAATCCTAAAACTAGATGCAATGATAGGTTTTCCGCTTTCCCTTGCTTAAACGATACGTCAGTGCAGGCACCAATATACTGAGGCATGCAACTCAGCACCCATGGACTCTGTTTTATAGAGACGTTACTGAACGATAAGTATAGTAGATATATTAATTGTTAAGGAAATCATTATAGATGAATATGTTATTCATTGAGACAAAAAAATATAGTCTTATAATTTGTCACTTAATTTGAATTAAACACTTGGAAAAATTACATCTTCTGTATATGAATCACAAATTATGATTTAGGAACTTGAGTGACATGGTTTTACTTCATGTATTTCGCTTCATCATTGGTACATCTTACCATTATACAGTGTTATGCAGTCAAAATAATGTTGAGTCTTTTCTTCCATTATTCAGCTCTGCCATGGGTAAAGAAGACACCACAATCGGTATTGCCAGGGCAGACTCGCTCTCTGAGAAAAGCTTTCCTTCTGGTAAGACTGTTCGACTTTTCTAAGCATTAAATAATAGTTGTTTTGTGATTGAAAGTTTCTCTGTTTTGTCTGACATATATGCTTTCAGGGTCTTCACATGTTCCTGGTTTACATGAAGTGGGCACGGGTCCAATTTCGTATCCATGTATTGAACTATCTATGGAAGAAAATGATGGGTTGAGAAGCTCTAGTCATACTATTGCCCCACAAGTGAGTAACAAAGTGCAGGCTGGTCTAGAATCATCCCCAAATATCTTGTGCTCCGTTGAGGAAAGCTATGTTTTAAATAGTCCGTCTCCTCCCAAAATTGAATCCTTCTCCACCAGAGGAATAAGTGCAAGAGAGGTTCAGTCTTCAAACAGTGTTGTTACTAGTGAAGCTTCAAACTCAAGTTCCAATCGTTCCGACATGAGTATGAACATTATTGACGAACAAACCGTTCATGAGGATATATGCGACCCTGTAGATTTTGGGCAATTTTTCCAAGAAGGCTACTGTAAGGCTTCAACTAACAATGAATTACATGAGGTAAATGAACTGGTTGCTGATATGGATAGCAGTAGCAGTCCTTGCGACAAAGAGAAAACTGATGATGATGGAGAAAGCGATGATATGCTGGGAGGTGTGTTTGACTTCTCCGAAGAAGGTGAGTGAGATTAAGAGGGTTTTATCTTGTGGAGTTGCTTCTTTCTTTGTCCCTCCATCCTTTTCCTTTGTTACTTAACATAATTTTTCATGAACCTGTGGATTTTTTTCATGCAATGCCATTTAGCGTTTAGGCCAAAAAAAATGTTTAATAGATTTAATCTATCACAATAGGACAGATAGAACTTAAAAGAAGATCTACTACAATAAAGCAGATAGACCTTAGGTAGTCCCCAATCAGGGCTTTCTCTATTTCTTTGACAGTATCGAGCATCGTCTGAACTTTTAGTTGCAAGGGTCATTATTGCTTTCTTCTGTATGTAATGCAGTTATCTTTGGTTGTTGCAGGTTGATGCCCAACTCTGATTCCCGCGTCGTACCAGCCTAATCTTATTTCAATAACATTTAGTAATGCTGGTACCTGGTAGTAGGGATTGGCAAATCAATGGAACGCATCGTATAAGCCATTGATATAGAGCTGAACATTTCTGAAGAAATCTACTGACTGATATGTGAATTATGACTTAGTTCTTTCCTTTTGCTGGAGTGAAGATGCCTGATTTCTCATGTCCAATTCTCCTGTATATGTTGTATAGTAAAATTCATGATGCAAATGATTGGTGTGGACATGTCTTTGTCTATGCTGTGTAAAACTATGTTCTTTTTTTTTACATGAAAAAAAAAGAAGAAAAGAAAATAAAAAATCGAAAAGAAGAAAATCATCATTTATTGTACAGTTGTTTTCTATTTCATTGACCGGGTTTGATTGGAATACTAGACTTTGTTGTTTGATGTTTATTTTGTATCAGGGATATTTTGGCAAAGTTGACGGATGTATAAGCATGATGCTGAATGATAGGGAATCAGTTGCTTGATGTCTAATGGGTCGAAGTTGCTTATTATTGATAAAAAAAAAAGTATGTCTAGACAGTTCTTTGTCAATCTTAGTGCATATTGGCATTATAGCATTTGGTAGTTACACAATGCTGTTGGGTAATTGTATGATAAAGTATAACTGTTCATTCAACTCCCTTTTCAGTTAATGACACTGCATTAACTAAAATATCGCATCTGAATTCTAAATTGTCCATGTAATGAATGATAAGTTTCAGTGGTTTGATTGGCTAAATTACAAAGGGAGGAATGAAGTATCAGAGTCCATTTCTATGCCAAAATTACTACTGTGTTATCTTTTACCCCTTTCCTTTCTGTTCCCTCCAACCGACACCAACCCGATATTTGCAGGACTGTAATGTGTTGTTTTCTAGTATGGTTTCATTTTAGTTCCAAAGTTGAAAGTCTTTGCAAATTGATTCTTAGTGAGTTGAGTTGCAAGTTGGGAGAGGGGATGTTTGGTATGAGGATGCATGGTCGTATATTGCTTTCTGCAAAAATCAGATCTTTCACACCTTGGTAACTTACTGGAAAATGATCCAGTATCTTTTTTGTTTTAAACCACAAAGCTGAATTTTAATGATAAAAGGAGAATAGTGGCAAACAAAGCGCAGCGTGGGGCTAGTAGACCAGAGGCCTCAGCAGGAACTATCATTTGAGAATTGAGATGGCTTATGCCCAAATCTCTGTACTATAAAGCGAATACACTAGTTAAACTTTACAAAGTCATATCTTGTTGATTACTTGATTTTTCCGTCAGAGCTGTGTTTTAAACGAACCGGTGGACCAATTTCTTGTTGATTTTGAAACTTATTGATACGTTGTTTAGGAAGCTCTTCACCTGGCCATGCTCATAAGCATTCACAAGTTACAAGTATAATGAAGAATAACAAAAGGGCATCCCGGTGCACTAAGCTCCCGCTATGCGCGGGGTCCGGGGAAGGGCCGGACCACAAAGGTCTATCGTACGCAGTCTTACCGTGCATGCAAGAGGCTGTTTCTTCAACCTCTTGACTATGTTGTTGGATCAATGTTAAGTATAGTGAAGAATCAACGTCGAAATTATCCTCAACCTCTTGACTATGTTGTTGGATCACAATATCACATTAGTTACCTTCATGGTCCATTTCAACGTGTACTATTAAAAGCATTGCCGTTGCACTCCAAATAAACAAGCTCTTCCTGTTGAATTGAGAGGCCATTACTTGAAGCTAATGTGAGTGTTACATATTTAGCCACTGGTCATTTAGCCACATATCAACTAATTGAGAATGCCTCAATTCCGACGACTGACGAGAGCATTGTTAAGATAAACTTGTAAATGGAAGTATAACTAGAATATCATAAATGATTGTGTAATTGTACTTCCGTTGTCCCAAAAAAGATTGATTATAACTATCTGAGAAGTCAAATACTAGATTTTTTCTTAATATTTCTCTGAACATCTTTAAAAGAAGTCGAAATTAAGCTCTTGATTTCAAGAAATACTTCTTCATGAAACAGTGCAGGACCAAACCAGAACATCAAATTATCAATCCTCTGTCGATGATGAACATGCCATAAGCGCAACCACTACTGATCTCATAGTTGGACGCATTTGATGATCTTTCTCTGTACAAGCTTTAGCAAGTTGTGCCATCTGCAGCAGACAAGTGCTTTGATGCTTCAAGAAGCAAAGAAACAAAAAAAGTGGTACATAGTGCAACAAAGATGTAATTTGTACCTTGTGGACTGAATCAAAGGGGTAGTTATCGCCGAGTTTGGGGTCTATCAATCTGGAAATGCCTTCAATTGGATTTGGATGATTATGAGCTTCTTCAAACTACGGAACAATCATCGTTAGCTCATCAACTGGTGCAAAAATTTTATGATACCATGAAGTAGACAAAGTAACACTAGCAAGAAGCATAAAATCCATGAAAAGGTCATCTCAGTGCCAATCGATAACATTCTGTAAAGAAATATGCAGAAGCAAATTACCAAAGCAACAAGGCTTCTTGCATCATCTACACCATCTTCCTTGACTACTGCTTCCTTGGATGAAATCAATTCATAAAGGACAACGCCAAAAGCATAGACATCTACTTTAGGTGAGATAATTCCTGAACGACCATACCTGCATATTTCAGCAATGGTTATTTGCGACCATCTATCTGTGATACATCACTAGGGGTATACCCAACTTGAGGGGGTTCAACTACCCCCCCCCCCCCCCCCCAATTGCATAAGTTCCCAGCAATGGTATTCATATATGTTGGAAATTTATTTGATGACCCTAATAAATCAAAGATACCATATATATGAATCAAATCTCGACGTAATTCAGCTTCCTAGCATTTTAGCTAAACCACTTCCAAAAAGAGATTGTTTGGAATGCACCAATAATAAATGCCAAGTCTGTTTCCCTAAAGACCACCTATTGCCATACTCGTTATTAAATAAACCATGTCAGCAGCAGCTATTTCTGTGTTAAGACACATTTTGTACAATGAAAAAACTTACTCTGGTGCCATGTACCCAAATGTACCCATAAAACGTGTAGGCAAAGTTGAATTTCCATTTTCAACAAGTTTCGTCAAGCCAAAATCTCCAACCTGTGAGTATGTGATTTACCAATAAGGAGAGCAGTTGTTTCAATTTGTCAAAAAACAAAGATTAGGGGCCTTAACAAGACCTTTGCATGGAAGTTTTTGTTTATCAGAATATTTGCTGATTTAATATCACGATGAATGCAAACGGGGACACTGTGTTCATGTATATATTCAAGACCCCTGGCAGAATCCAGTGCAATTTGCACCCTCGTTGACCATGGCAGTGTGTCCCTCCCTGGAAATAGAATTATCAAGTAATTAACAAAGGCTTAAGCGTATAAACATCTGCAACGCAAATAAGAAGAAAAATATAAATAATTAACTATTCCATCACATCACTATAGCTCATAAATTTCTCATACCACGTAGATGTTGGCTTAGATTACCATTGTCAATGTACTCATATACAAGGAAAAGATACCTTTCAACACAATATCCTATCAAGCACACCTGCATGCATTCAGTGACACAGAAAAGAAAAAATCAAACAAGCAAACTAATAAAGCATAATACAACATTATACTTCCCTTCCAGATCAGTAAATGATATAGAAGACTTCAAACTTCAAGTACAAAAGTATCAATCCCTCAAAATTTCTTAGGTCCACACACTATTTACAGAAACACATAATTGTAAATCATGAATCATCTCTTACAAGAGTTCTATTTATACTGTAAGAGCTCATTTATACTGAGGGTTAGAAGGGTTAAAATTGAAAGGAACGGGAAGATGAGGCAAAATAAGTAGAACACTAAAAGCTCTTTCTTTTCTTTTCTTAACGTTTCTCTCTATCCCTTCAAACCGATCAATTGAATAAGCAAAGACCCTCTGTTTGTTATTTATTTGTGGCAGTGACATGGGAACATGTGAAGTGCCATCCATAAATGCTAATGAAGTGGATTATAAACTAGCTTTTTATTTCAAAAATCAAACATGCAATGATGTCAAGATGCTGTATCATTTGTGAAATAATGACAATATATGTGAGAGGCTAAACTTGCAACATTTTACATTTAATCCAATTTGGATTACACTTGTGCTGATCAAAAGAACTAGAACTGCTTCTAAAGGAAATCTTTACCTTATATAAAAAAAAGGAAGTCATAATTGACAGAGAAGATATTTATAATACCAGGTTCAGGTGATGAACGCGCGTCAAAATTTGCAGTTCAGTAAGAAATTCGGTTTTTGCTTGCCTTTTCATTTGCTTTATGGCTGTTATCTGTATCAAAATTTTCAATACTATATGTTAGCAGAGACTCACAGTATAAAAAACTAATGAAGAAATGCCCCATTGAATGGTGAATTGCCCACTGTCAAGTTAAAGTTTTAAGCACAGATCCATTTGTAAGTAGTAAGTTTTATCAGTTTATGTAATTAGAAATCCCTTAACACTTCTAACCGGATAACTAGCAATATCTTATAATATAAAAATATAAAAGAATCTATCCAGAAGGAGTTCTGCAGTTGGTACCTTATCATATCCAGTTGCAGTATAGTGTTGGAAAAATAACCGTCATAAAATCCCCAAATTTTACTCTAAAAGCTTGGACTTATAATTCTTCATAATAATCATAGCTTTTATAAATTATGCTTCTCTAGGTTTATCACACTTCTCATTATTCCTCTAAAGGTATTCTAAAATCCAGGACTCAGATTTTTTGTATTATTTATTGAAATTCATAATAGAAGTCTTCTGAAACACATGGAACAAGGAAGAAAACAAAGTAGCAGCTAACTTGCTACATATAGGGGAAAGCAAGGGTCCATCTTCAGCCTCAGTAAAGTCCATCTTATTGAAATTGGAATGAACAAAAACAAATAGTAGGTAAAGCTAACGTAATAAAGTAAAGACAGGTGTTCCAAGACTTTACCCCTTTTATTTATGCCAAATAGCTAGGAACAAATATGTACGGGATAGAAATATTTCAACTTCCAGAGTAGACAGGCACACATATTTTTACAGTTATTGGAAGTAAAAAATTTAAATTGCAGACCTTGTCTCTTAGCTCAGCGTAATAAATAGCTCCAAAGCCACCTTCTCCAATCTTATTAGAAATGCTAAAGCCATTAGTCGACTCAGCAAGTTCTTTGTATGAGAACTCAACAGATTTTTCCACAGCTATGCCCAAAAGGCCTGCCAAGGCACCATCAGAAAGGTCACTGTCTTAGTCCCCTCAGGCCTTACTCAGAAGAAATGTTTATATCAAACTTGTGAAGCGACTATCAACCCCCCCCCCCCCCCCCCACCCACCCACATTTAGATTTGTTTACTACAGTATATCAGGTAAACCTTGGGTGTCTAGGCTGCTTGAATTAGACAATTTGTTAATAGGGAATAATTGTTTTGCTTAGAGCAATAAAATTATCACACTACCAAAGGTGAAACACTAATCATAAAGAGACATTGATTTTAACACTTCCAATTCACTACTGATATTGATTCGTGTGATAAAACAGTAGGCACACACTAGAGGAAGCAAGACACCAGAACCTTTGGAAGAATTTATGTTGCGAAAATGTTTTTGTTAATCTAGAGAATTACCCTGACCAGATGGATGTGATTGATCAGCAAATGCCGAGATGTGTGGTACAACCTTTTGTGCCTTCTTTCTATAAATTCCCACGTAAATGATGCCTATGAGTAATGTAACTCCAGCTAGTGATGCTACTGCCATTCCGGCAATAAATTTACCTGATGAACCTGATCATACACTCGGTACAGAATAATCAATAAGCTAGGATAGCATGAATAATTCCATCACTGACTAGGTTTGGGTGAAAGAAGAGGGCAGTCACCTTTGCTGCAAAGTCAGGGGAAACATGGATGACCGGATATGTTAATAATATGCAAGTATGAGTCATGATATGATGTTCAATGTATAACCACCTCAAGTCTGAAAAAGATACCTGGTTGGCATAGGTGGATATGTTTATCTGCATAAAACAAGGAACCATGGCCAGAATATTTTCCACCAATTAAAAAAAGTATGACAACAGAAGTAAACATTTTACCAAACCCAAAATATCAGGTATATAACTTAAGCTATGTCAGATCAAAATCCACAATGCAAAGTTGCGACAATCGACCTCAGAATACTACTTCCTTTCAGCAAATGCAGGGAGATCAGAAAATCAATCAATATCTCATCAGTTGACAATAGTGAGAAGGACATTTGAAGCATGAGAGGTTCAAAATGACTTCCCTTCTGCCATTAGGGAAAACAAGTTCCATAAGTGACATTCCATGCTGATTGTGTCATACCTACACCCATCCCCACCCCCACCTCAACCCTTACGCACCCATCTCGACCCTCTGAACCACACCCCACACCAAACCTCGCTGGCCTCAACTCCTATCCACCCCACCCCCTCAGCCCTACCCCCTCACCACGTCCCCACTAGAAAATAAGCAAGAAAATTCATACCAAACGCACCTTATATGTCACTTTCCAGAACACTCGATTCATATTAAAAACAAATTTTTGGAGCAAAAATGTGCCGAAACAGAGGGGAACAAATATAGATGACCCAAATAGTCGACTCCAGGATAGCAGCATAAAAATCTTCTTTGGTGTTGTTTTTATCATGTTTGAACTCACCTCTGCCTGGAATGTAGAGCAGCCGAGTGCCAGCACTGAAATTCACCGCCGGATTGTACATTTGGATCAATTCAGAGCTTGTACCGGTCGCCAACGCGATCGACTCCAGAGTTTCCCCTGGCCTGATTGGATATGTGATGAACAACCCATAATCCTCAGACACCTCTTTGTTCCCGCACGAGCAATTCACTGTCACGTTCAACGTTACATTATTAACCGGGATATTATTATACGGATAACTGTTAACCCTCATCAACCACTCCTCAGTTACCAAACCGGAATACTCCGCCGCTACGCTACCATAAGTATCCCCAGAGCGGAGATTGTATGGAAAAACGTGTCCCAAGTAGTCGCCATTATTAAGGCAGTCACAACGGAAGGGTATTTTAATCTTAATTATGATGTCGGCTTCAGCCTGAGTAAGCGGAATTACGAAACTAGGGTTGTAGCTAAGGATTTCAGGGACAGATACGTCGGGGAATAACCGGCGGGATACGTCGGACACAAATTCGTCATAATAACCACGATGAAGAGAGTATGAAGCGAAAGCTAAGGCACAGCCCTCTCTGCACGTGGAATCAGCTACTACTACATAATAATGAACTGAAAAAATGTAGTATATCACAAATAGGATTATCCTAATCCTTAGGAAAAGGCAGATTCCTGGTTTAATTTGCATTTACAATGAATGATCATTCAAAGCAATTATTAGGAGGTAGTTGAGCATTGTTCTTCTTTGGCTAGTCTCATATAGTGGTTCACACTATTATATTGTTTTTCTTTGTGCCGGACCTTATTATTGTTAGTGCTTTGCATCTATTCTCTCGTTCTTATGTTGTTGTCATTATTTTTATTGTTTTCTGTCGATAGTACTGATATATTGTCTCTCGTTTTGTCTTCTTGAGCCTAGGATCTTTCGAAAACAACCTCTCTACTCCCTCGAGGTAAGGATAAGGTCTACCTACACTCTACCTTCCTCATACCCCATTTGTGGAATTTTACGGGGTTGTTGTTGTCATCAGTCAGTCCATAATTATTAAAAGGAGGAAGAACGACTAACGATAGGAAGTTTCCAGGGAAAGTGGACATTACTTCCACGGTTGAAACTTGAAAGTCAGACAGTGACAAACAGCAAAATCTAGCGCCAAGAATTAAATAATTCTATAATTAGTGCAAAATCAGTCAACTCTTAACAACAACACGTTGTTCTCCTTGACAAGCTATGTATTTACCCAGTGAAAAACATGTCGAAAGTTCATAATATTGAAACCCTTGTCAAAAAGATGATCATTAAAAAGAAAGTTAACAGAAATCACGAGGAACAAACACTTAAAATGTACTAATACACTAAGAGCCCGTTTGGATTAGCGGATTGTAAATAGCTGAAAAACTTGAAGCATTTTTAAATGCTGAAATTGATTTTTTAAATAAGTATTTACGCGTATGGATAGATGTGCCGAAACTTATAATAAGCAGTTGATGTGTTTTGTAGAAAAGTGCGGATAAACTGTTCATTTATTAAAATGACTAAAATATCCTTAAAAACTTTACAAAAGATTATGAATTAAAAAGTTTCGTTGTATAATGAAAAGGATCAACAACGAATATAAAATGAAGAGAAAGTTAAGACACTTACTTTGGGAAAAATATTTTGTGAAAATCAATTAGACATTAGACAAATTTGCTGGATGTTAGATTGAAATAAAAAAGAATCTACCGTTGAATTTAAAAGCATTTTAAGTGTAGATATGTTGACATTTTCTTACAGAATGTGGACTATTCTTTTAAAAATTATGTCCATAACTGTCTGAATACGCAGACTGTTTTGAAGAAGTCAGCTACTATGTACAACAATAATTCGGAAAAAAGAGATACTCTACAATCATTTGTAACGTCTTTATCTTTCCTTAAAAGCGAGTAGTTATCTTATATACATTGACTTTAACAAGCTGACTCTCAATAAGAGATGCATTTTATTTTTCTATATTTCTGTATTTTGTCTTGGTTGTATTCATTGTGTGGATGAATACAGTTGATACATGTTGTATCTTTTGTATACACCCCTGTATACTGTATACAGTCGATACATGTTGTATCATTTGTATACACCCTTGTATTTTGCCTTGGTTACATTTGATATATGAAAGAGCACGAATGAATACAGTTGATACAAGTTGTATGCGCTGTATTCGTTACACGTCTAAATACAAGTGATACAAACTGATAACAATTAAACAATAGCTACAACTGATAAATAAGCAAAATATAATTACTAGACTCTAAACTATAATGCTTTATGAAAATTCCTTTTCATTTTTCCCTTACAAGGAAGGCCATACAGTTTTACAAGCGATCAATGGACCGACATCTCGCCTTGGAAAGCTCCGGGCCTAAACTACGTATACGAAGGTCCAACTTAGGTCCAAAGAATTTGGCCCATAGGCCTTTTTTTCCCCATCAGATTATAAACCTTTTAAAAAAAATGGAAAGAGATTATAACTGTAATTTATCTCATTGGAAGAGTAATAAAAGCTCTTTAATGATTCAACAATACTTTCAGATAAGACAGTATATCATAGGAATTTTTACCTCCTATAGCAAAGGTTAATACCTTATTTATTTTAAACAAATACCATTTTAAAAAGTTATATTCTATAGATACCTTTTAATGTTTATAGCAAAATATCTAATTTTAGTTACCTCCTACCCCTAAGCCACTATATACGCTATTCAGTTATACTATTTTCTTTCTCTCTCTACTTTGATACATGCCATTCTCTTCCCCCATTCCCTAAAAACACGATGCTCAATCTCAAAATTCCTCTCACCCACATCACCTACCATTAGTCACAAACAGTGATTTTGCCTGGTATATCACGAAGACTTCTCTGACTTTTCCCCTCAATTTTGTGCAACCCAAATGGAATCCAAAGGAGATGAAGCCTCCAATCGACGCGCACAACACAGCAAACCCACGAACCTTTCTCAACTTCCGTCATCTTCAATACAAGATTTGTTTTTGCGTGGGAACAGTGTAGTTACATCCATATCTTCCAACTTCCGTCATTTTAGTTACATCCTAATCTTCCACCTTAAATAGCTTCTCAATTTCTGCTTTTCAATTCAGGAAAAAAAATCATGAGAAAATGAGGTGGATGTTTTCCTAGCAAGAACAAGATTGCTAAAACCACAAACAAATATGCAAATTCTGCTACAATGGTAATGCGTGGGAATAGTGAGATTTAGGGTTTTTGCTCGACGGCGGATTCGCCGGAAATTAGGGTTTATTCTTGAACAAAGACGACGGAGTTTGGGGCTGAGCAACTTGATTTTCTGTTAATATATTTCAATGTATTTTCAACGTATCATGCTGTATTTTCATGTATTTCATTGCATTCATTGTCTTTTTTTTCATTGTAATTCAATGTATCTCGTTGTATTTCATGTATTTCATTGTATTCAATATCTTTTTTTTCACTTTATTTTAATGTATTCCGCTGTATTCTATGTATTTCATTGTATCCACTGTCTCGCTATATGCCATGAATGTATTCATATATTTTTTTTAATTAATATAATTTATGTATTCAGATGTATTATATAATTTCTCTGAAGATTGCTATGTTTTTGGGGTATTTTTCGGTTGAGAATCTTTTTATAACTGGAAATACAAAATTTGTGTGTTATAATTGAGTTTTTTGAGTTATATTAGGAGTCTATTATGTTAATTGATTCACTTTCCGTTTAAAAACAGTGTAATCCCCTGTTTCACGCCGTGAACACAGTTGAATACAGTCTAATACAATAATCTGTCCAGCTGTAATCCCATGTTTCGCACCATGAATACAGTCGAATACACTCGAATACAACAACTGATTAGATGGACTTCCCTGATTCATGCCTATTTTTGCTACTGTATTCACGAATACAGTAGCTTAAATACATCTAATACATCTTATAACAACAGAAAACGTATCTACAATCCGTAATATATCAAATGGTATCTATAAATAGCTAACTACCACTAAAAGACAGTGCTTTATGAAAATTTTTCTATATCATATGATCGTGTTCTAGTCGAAAAAGCTAGAAAAGCCTCATTGGCCCGACAGCTGACAAGCAAACCTTCCATTCTTATGTTTACATCACTTCTCTCTTTCTCGCATTGACCGGACAAAGGTTTCAAATGAGCACTAGAACAGTGACATTATCAATGAAAAAGAGGCCCATAAACTCTTTTGGAAAGAGGAGTGTCATTGGTAAGAGCTAGTGTTTTAAAAAGTTTTTTTTGGGAGTTGGGCCTAGGCTTGCCCGAGGCGAGGCACTATCAAAACGTCCCGAGAATCACGTGTAGGGCTTAGTTCGGTGAGACTTATGCCCCAAGTGTCCGATTGTACGCCCCATACATGGCTAACGCTCTACGCTAAGCCAGGGGCTGCTCAATGGATCTCGTGGTTAAGGCAAAATCATATCGAGAGACTCTTAAATTTATTTTATAAAATATTTATACTAACAATAAAATTTACTTTTTAAATAACAAATTAATCATTTAAGAAAAAAGAAAAGCGAATTTCAAAAAAAGAAGAAGGAAGAAGAGGCAAAAAATAAAGTGGTGGACTATCGGATGTTGAGGTCCAGAACTCAAAATAAAAATTTTGATTTGGCTATCATCACAAACAAGAAAAAGAAATGGACGTACATAACGAAAAAGCTTAAGTTTTGAGCATTGGCGGTGTCAAAAATATTTATTCCTTATGATTAATTTAAACGATGATTGTAGTTCATTCTATTAAGTAGCACTTATTGGTGAATATCTAAAATAAATTATAAATAACATAATATAATATGTTGAATTACATAAAAGAAAACCGGTGCATGAGTGCTTTTATTTTCATGCAGTTCCAAAGAACATTGTAAAAGAAATTCATTATATTGTCGAGATATATAACTTAATTCCTATATAAAAAGGATAAAATTAAAATTGAACCAAATATACTAATTAATAAGGGAAGAAAATTAGCATAATTTATAAATTTATTGTATAAAATAACCTCAATCAAGTAACAAAAAGTATACTATAACACTTTCTTTATAATAATTATTTATATAAATTATATAGTATATAGTAATAATAATAATAATAATAATAATAATAATAATAATAATAATAATAATAATAATAATAATAATAATAATTTAAAATAAATTTGGGGCCTTCATATTTTGGGGGCCTAAGGCAACGGCCTCACTGCCCAAAGCCTTAGAGCCGCCCCTGCGCTAGGGGCTCGCCTAATAGTTCCTACCGCAAATCGTGCATCAAATCCCTAATTAGCATTTCTGACACTCAAACTTCTTTAACAAATGATCGATTACAGTTTTATTCATTTATAGAAATATGAAGATTGAGAATAACTCGAAATAATGAGTCATTATATTGCATATTTACTAATTTAGAACATTGGAGAGTGAGTATCATTTGAATAGCCAAAATTTACGTCTTCACTTACTATAGGTATTCGTATTTTAGTTCTATGTCTCTCAAAATTATCAAAATTTTGTTATTGATTAGTAACTTTTAGAGAAGCAAACCGTGTAATTTGATAATATTTTTTAAGATATTGTCATATTTAATTGTTTGAAAGATAAAACGTTATAGTTGATTTAGCTTATAGTAACTTTAACACTATTGTATTATTTATATCTTAAGAAAAATGCTAGATATTTTATTTTTTGTGAGCTTTATTTTTTTTAAATTTTCTTAAACTTTAATGTAATATATATATATATATATATATATAT